TTGGGCGTATATAGTTCTTATTATAATTTTACTATGTAATTGTACGCACTGATAAATTACAATTATATTCGATAATATTCGTACTTATTTCAAATTTGTTTAATTTTTACCCAATAGAACGTATAGTAGAGTTGAGGCCTTCATTTAATACCTCTTCTCCTATGTATGTATGTGATTGTACAAAAATTCAATTATTTCGTTTCTGTGAATTTGTTTAAACGTCAACAGTTTTATCAATTTGCCTTTATGTATCTATTAATAAATTTGAAATAGAGCAGCAAATCAATTATTTCCAATAATTTGCATATGGGTTAGTAAATGACTGAGATTTAGTGATGTCTCAATCATATATGGGTTTTAGTGTATTTTAATAGATCTATAAAAAATAAATGTTGTGTACTTTCACTTAATACATATTTTTAAGTATTTACTAACATTTCATAACTTTTTTCAACAATAACTAATATTCTATTTTAATAAGTTTGAGACAAAAAGAAATAAGGGTAAAAAAAAAGCTGAATTTATGCTCTTGAACCGTTCGTCAATATCAGCAATTGACGTGTATTGTTAAATTGATTTATTGTAAAGTACAGTAAAGTAAAGGGTTTACAGAGGAAATTACATACAATTACAAAAAAGTTCTTTAACTTGAAGTCTACATAAGTCGAGCCTTTTCTTCCAAAATGGTACTTCGAGTTATGGAAGTTTGACTGTACTTGTGAAGAATGTATGTATATATAGACCATCGTTATCAAAAACTCTTGACATACTAGTAAATGTCTATGGTTCAAAGTAAAGAGTTGATTCAGTATATGAATTTCTGAAAATCAGAAATGGACTCCTTAGCCCATTCAAAAATATGTTAACTGGTAACCTTATACTAGTTAGAGCAGCAAAATATATTATTATTAATAAGATAAAATATGTAAATAAAGCTAATTACCGGTAGGTGCAATTAGCAATTGATTGTTAAATATAATTTTGTGCCCGGTTGAACATAGTCAGATGCGGTGTTTGGTATACTTGAAAAAAAAATAAGATATTTTAATGATAAAGTAGATAAACGAATTATTCTATGTACACAAATTAACATGCGTAGTACTATATAGTTAGAAATACATATGATTATGTAGAATGATACCCAATAGTGGCAGACTGATTACGTTATAACTACATAACACATCAAATTCCCCGCATCTCTGGTTTTGATATGATAAATATTACAACATTTATAAGAATAATAAAAAAAAACTATCGTAAACTTGAAAAAGAAAACTTACAAGTAATAATAATAAAAGTCACGAAGACTTCTCTGGCATTGTGATAAAACCCTATTGAATGATATTATTAATGCCATTGAAACATATTTCGGAACTCGTGGAATAGACATTCTAGTATCGTAAATAAACAAAATGCAAATACTTAGGAGTCTATAATACTATATAGCTAACAATTCATGTAGCTATATATAACTAGGTAGTGAAGGAGTAGCAACAACATTATTTGTCTTCGAACCTTTGAAACGTACAATATCACTTAAGGTATATAGAAGACTTTAGAATAATATATAATAATAATAATATAAAATGAATTTTTTTTATTAGATTATTAAATAAAGTTTATAAAATATAGAGAGTAATATATATGTATTTATGTGACTAGCGAGACGGCTGTCAAATAAATGAATTCGGTGGTATTAAGATAAAAGGTTATCACCAAATTTCAGTGTAAAGTAATAGGGGCTCCGGAGTATAACTCTATTGAGGAAAATTACAGGACCTATGAATTAATTAAACGAAGTACTAATCTTCCAGAGGCTTAGAAGAAAGTTATCGAATACTTGCACCAGAGCATTTAGTTCTGGTCAAACGAAGGCATTTTTTTGATATCTACGTTAAAATAGCAGTAATGATAAAAAAAAATCATGGCTTACCAAGAGAGGACATATCTGTGGTTGTGAGTTGTATGATTGAACATATTATAGAAGTTGTGTGCAAAAAATAAATAGTAAAACACTTGTGTAGTTACCCAGTTCTAGTCAGGAGCAGAGCACACCGGAAAGGCCATTCTATCTTTAGCTTTTTCACAGAACTGTCATCAGCTGGACAAATTGAATGATTAATGTAACGGAAAAGGGCAGAATTTATTCAATAGAAAAGTTTAAATTGTTCACCTAGATATCGAGAGATCCGATTAAAGTTTGATAACTCGCTAAAAGCTTTTACAGCTTGCATGTGATATACTGCCACATACACTATATTCTTCAGCATTGACACCTAATTATTATTTACTAAGTTCACTAGAAAATTATTAAGAGGGCAAAAACATGGTATTGGTATTGGATCAGAATTGACAATATATAATACATTAAAATATTTATTGCCTATAAGAAAATCGTTTTACATTTACATAAAAAAATACAAAATTACTTTCCGAACAATCTTATATGTTAAATAATAATAAAAATCTTTTGCTAACTTATCGCAGTTCTGCTTTATTGACCGAATATTTCATTGTTTTTTTGTTTACATTTTTTTTTGTATATTTTTTTGTTGAAAAAGATAGTTTTAATTTAGGAAAAAAGATAAAAAAATATGAGATAGATAATAAAGCAATAGTTTTTTGATATTGGACGTTCACCTTTTTAAGTCAATTTTCTATACGTGCCTTTCCATTGTATTTCCCATTTTAACAAAAAAAATTTGTTCTCTTTGTATTGAGCTCTGAGCCACGTTTTAGATATGAAAGTATCTCATGAAAATAGGAAATCTCATCAAACTATTTACGATACGAAACAGATGATAAAAATAAAAATAAAAAATAAGAAATTATAAACCAAACGAACTCAAAAGAGAATTGAAGAATATTGAAGTAGTTTTTAATGAAGTTGACTTTTCATAAAAACTATAACTATATAGTAAAAAACTATTGATAATATTTAATATTTTCAAATAAAATTTTGTACTGTAAAATTTTTTTATCTACAATATAAAAAAAATTATAATAATAAAAATTAAAAATTTAATTAAAATAATTATGAATCTCACGCCATTATTAAAGTATCTAAACTCCGCTACTGCATTGCTAATACAATTGTCAGCACTGTTTAAGCCAAAAAGCTAATCTCTTATTTCCTCATTAACATTGTGTAGTGAGTTGTGAAACTTACGAGAGTTCGGAGAGTACAACTAAGTCTACTGGAGGCCTATCTGTTGTTATGGCCACGCTATGAAAGCGAAGCAAATATCTGACACGAATCTTGTTTACTTGTTGCAGACTTCATTTGAAGCCAACTGTTGTGTTTAGTAAGACTTTTGCTTTAAACTCGGCTGGTATTGGCAAAAAGAGAGCAACTTTACTTGCTGCTTTGCAACTACATAAATGAATTAATAAGAATGAAGTTCAAGAAATTAAACAAAATATAATTTAGTTTTATGTAAAGTTTTACAAAAAGTGTTCCTGGTACCTTTGTAAAAACATGTGATAAATTACCTGCGATACTCAATACACTCGAAGCCAACGAAGCCAAATTAGAAAGTTATCTTTCATTTATTTTATACAATACTTACTAATTTACTGATTTACTGATTTACTGCTCTACGTTGTATACAACAATTAATGTTAATATTACTGAGTAAAAAATAATAACTAAAATAACTGTAACTCAGCATGACTGAATCCGAACCAGTCAGCTTAGAGTTCATTGAAGATCCGTACTTACCAAAATTGGATAGCATAACTACACCATCACTCGATGAGATAACGGAGCAAGATCAAAGTGTAGCTGGAACAGTTATTACTAATTGTTATGATGATTGGAGTGATGAGATTGAATTGTATTTGAGAAATCTGACACTAGATCAAATATTTTATGATGTCGATTCCGACTATACGAACACACTTGAGTTACAAACTGTGGAAACCGAATTTATTGCAACCAAATTGGCTAACCAAACTCCTTCATCGTCGATAGCAAAACGATTTCGTCTAAAATTCTTTACAAAACGAACAATGCGTGAAGTCAAAGTCACTTTCATTGATTTCTCAAAGCCCTATTTAGCCAAAATTTCGAGTAGTGATAATTATAAAAAATTTTTGAATATTGGTTCCTGCACAAACAGTTCTAGTAAAGGTAAAGTGAAGTAAACTATAATTTAATACAGTTTAATATTTAATGAAGTTAAACATAAATTCAAGGGAAAGCAATAACGTCAAATAATTCTAAAAGATAACTGGAGGAATTTTAAAGTTACAATAAGATATAATAGATATAATAATAGTAATAGTAATATAATGATATAATAGATATAATTATTGAAATCAAAGCGTATTCACAATCCGATAACTAAATAACATAATAACAGTGCTGAATTATGACAACAAAATCGTGTGACTTTGTTAGCGAAATAGTGAATATCACTCACATAAGTGTGAACGCACTTTCTTTATTCTTTCTTGATAAAATTATAAGTGAACATTTAAATCAGCTGATATTGTAGTCAAGTCAGTTGACTACTTGACTACATGACTGCCATACAAATTGAGCTATCAGAACGGATTTGTTTTGATTTTCATTACAACCTTATGAAATGTATTACCCTGAAGTATAGTAAGACAGGAGAAAAACACCCAAAACATTATATTTTACGATAATTTTTTAAAGTGACTAGTATCAACCAACAGACATAAATTGAGTGAATACGTCAAAGACCGCAAATGGCTTAACAGAAAATAAAGGGATTACATAGATCGTACGATAGTACGTCATTTTTCATTAGTTTATGTTTTTATTATAGTGCACCGATTAAGCGTCTTTGGAGAAGTGTACTTTGTGACAGAAGCTGTAATCGGGTTTTGTCACCTCTGACCTGGAACCAATTGTGGTATTCTAACAACCCAACTAATTCAAACATTTGTCGAAATCAATATTGTGATAATTCTAAATATGTAACTTTTATATGCAAGATTCTTGAGATAGTCCAGTCAACCTTCTAGAAGCACTCGTCTAAGATGATTTAAGTATGTCCTATATTATACTTTACTGCAAACGGATAATGTGATCGGTTGAAATGTAGATAAAGTTGTCATAAAAGCTAAAAATTTATACAGTAATATCTGTACATGAATTTTTTCTATTTGTAAATGTATTTGTCGCAATTTTATATTTAAATATATGCCATTTGATAACACATTTGTGCTCTAAATAGTTGCTTTACAATGTAAATTATATTAATTTTTTACACTGTAGGTATTCGGAATAAAGCTGTAATTATATAGTATTTTCATATAACATCATTTCAAGTAATATTTTTTATAATTTGTAGAAGAAAATAAATATAAATAGTGATGTAAGTGAGGATATGATAAAATGTATAGATTTCTCTGAAAAAGACATATTTTAAATAAATAAAAATATGCAATAAGAAATTTATTAGCTCATCAATAGTACTGTATATTATATATAAACATAAATAGCTTAAGCAATTCATAATTTTCCATATATATTTTCTCTTCCTTGCTTACCTATCATTTCCTGGTAAAGTATGTAAGTATTATTATAATAATAATAAAAGATGCTATTAATAATGCATACAATTTTTCCAAATTCAATTGAACAAACACTTAAATGCCAATTTAAATTTTTAGCTAATGATAAAGTATTCGAGGAAATTGTATTTCACGGAGGTATTTATATCCTCATTTTGCATGTAATTTAAAAAGCTAGGCTTACTGTTTTACATATATTTCATGACATATTAAATTCATAAAAAAAGAAATAATTTGTTAATAAAAAGAAAAAGTAGAATATATATATTTTTTAAACAATTTCAAGATTATGAAATGATATATTAAAAACTTGCCTAAATTTATATCATAGATAACGCCCCAAAAATGTCAGAACCAACATCTCCGGCTGCATCCGTAGCATCTGCAGATATTGCTGCTGAGTTTGCTGCTTTAACTGTGGAAGAACAAGAACAACAGAGAGCTGAATGGAGTCAGGTGAATATTTAGTGAAATTATTCATTTCATTTCATGAATGATATTCATTTTAAATCTTTAAGGAACTTGCACGAGTGGAAGAGGAAATTGTTACCTTACGTACAGTTCTGGCTTCGAAAACACGCCATGCTTCTGATTTAAAACGCAAACTTGGCATTACTGTTTGGAAAGAAATTACCGATGATATGAATCAGGGACTTAAGAATGTCAAAGAAAGTTCTGTGTATGTATTCAATTCATTATTTAGGGATTATTATTTCAGTATATTAGTGTGATCCACTACTTTACTTTTTTTATTTAGTTTTAATATCTGATTTTATGTTTTTGTAGAAATTTGAAAAATAATTTTTTAATTATTTCATATTTGTATTAAATTTTTAAAGTTTTCAATCGGTCGAACAGAGTGTCGGTAATATTACAAAAGCTGTACATGATGCGCCCATGTAAGTAATAAATGTGTTAAAATGATTTAATTGGTGTCTTTAGTATGGTACTAACAAAACTAAATTAAAATTGTTCACTTCACAAATTTTAACACACTAATTACCTATAAATAAACTTTGTAAACTTTGTCATACTTTTCTGCTTTAATTAAAAAAAAAAAAATTAAATCCAATTTAAAGAGTTTTCCTATTATCTCGCTTAGTCCCTTATATTACTAAGTTGCTCAATTTTAATCATTTAAAGTAACTATATCTATTACATCTCGTTTTAACGATATGCACATGTATCTATGGACAATAACTGTCATCTTCTCATTATAACCATATGGCCAAGTTTATATTTCAAGATGACGGTAGATAAGATGGTAGATAAACAGCCCCAGAGTATCGCGAAGTATTAATCATGTAACTTGTTATTTTCTTTTTTTTTTCATTAGAAAAGTTAAATTAATTTGTTGACTAGTAAGATTATAACGACAACTTTATTTGTGTGACCCCTTCGTGGACAGTGGGTCCGGGACGTAGGTCCGGCCGTTTTTGGAACCTACATGTTTTCTGCTTTTAGAACATTTAGATCTTAGTGTAATACAGTAACATCTAAACTTTATTATAAAGCTGCTAAGGTTTACTAACGTAACTTATGTTAAACAATGATTTGTAATACAATTAAAAAGCTTCTCTTGTAGACCAAATACGTCCTAGCTTAATTGAGTTCAGTGTATAATTATGTGACAAAAGTTTACTTGTCACTTTTCTTGCCAAAATATGTCAATTCCCAATAATTGCCCTAACTGCAGATATACACGCCATCAGAAGGCCATTCTCATATCCTAATATACATTATAATTTAAACACTATTGATTTTTAACTCTGATCAAGGCTGGCCCACTCTCCCATCCCTTTCTATCTCAAACAAACTTTTTTTCATACTCTACCGTCACCTAGCCTTATTCTAACCTGCTTATATGTTAATCTATATAATTTTCTGTTAAAAGATCTGTAAGTTAAAAAGATTACAACAACGATACTGATGTGTGTTATCACATAGTTAGACTACTAAAGCTTGCTATTGTAATTTAGATTGAACAACTACATTCGTAACTTAGGTTAAACAACTTAGGATAATGTATATAGTATAAAAAACTATTACAAACTGAAATTGTATATTTCCACGCTTGATAAACGCTAAGCTTCCTAAGATTTGATATGTGTTAACCGTTTCTGTTCCTTTACTGAGCATAATAAAAATTCTACTATAGTCTAGGCTAATTTTGTTTAGTGTATATTATATTTTCTTCTTAAATTTTCCTACAAGCTTTTGTAATTTTTTTCTAAATAAACAATTATTTTCTAATACTCTTTAAAACAAAATAAATTTTATGTTCCTATATGTTTTTCCATATCTTGTTAAATAATAAATACAATATATCACATTTTTCTATCTAAATGTTTATATTAATATAATTGTCTGATACTGGATATAAATTTTAATAATATATTTTTATGTAGTTTTCAGCGCACCGAATCTGTACTGAAATCGACGTCAGAGAAGACGGCATCTGTTTTTGGTAGTATTACAAGTGGAATATCATCAAAATTCTCACAAATGAAAAACTCAGACTCGATGCGTTCCATTGAAGAGAAGGTTGGGTCAGCCTATGAGAATGTTAAAGTAAGCTATGAACACAACAATTTTTTGTGCCAATCTCATGCGGTAACTATTGTACTTTTCTTTTATCTTTCATATTATATATAAATGCTTGAACAAAGTTACTCTTCCCTCCAATCATTCTTAAGAACCCCTACACATAACAAGAAGTATTCAATTCAATCTAATGACATTGAACCAATAATGAATATAATTAAATACAAAATTATGCTAAAACTCTACCTTATCAATAGGGTAGGAAATATGCCATTGTTTAAGTATACAGTATACAGTGATATATATCCATTAAGTATTATTAGAACAACTGTGATGGAATATACTAAAGTTGTCATTGGTTTAAATGAATACTCTACAACATAGCATTTAATCACATTGCATGATCTCTGCATATGTGTTGCGTTATTTATCTACAAATCCTTTCGTTATATTAATTTATTTATAGACAAAAGTTTCAACTTCACGCTCGGGTTCTGTTACCAGTTTTCCTGATGCCTTAAATGAAAACAATTCATCTGGTCTAAACTCACCAACCAATTCAACAGACAAATAAGTTAACTCCATGCATAAAACTACTCCTACTCACATATGCGCATATGCTGAATATTTAATTAACACACATCGTTACAATCCAACATTTACATATTTCTGAGAATATAATATTGAGTAGTTGGGTTTATATAAATATTTATTTACTTACCATATATAAATGTTTATGCTTTGTATTTAATTAATTAATTAATCGAAACTACAAACTATTGATTTCTAATAACCCAGAAAAAAATTGTGAACTACAATGAAGAAATGTGCTTTAACAATATTTAAAAGTTTTTTCGTATTGCAACTAAAAATGTATTTAAAATTTTGCCGCTTCAACGAAATGATTACGTTTATATATTATTTTGATCTATTATGATAACAAAAATATTGTATTGATTTTGTTTATTAATGTTTTTAATTGAAAACTTATTTCATAACTTATTTGAAAAATATATCTTATTATATGTATCAAAAATTTGCTTTTAAAACGATTTAAAACATTTATAAATTCTATTCAAAAAATTATATATATTTTTGTAATAACCGAATAATCTTTTTGTAGGCTTTAAAACGTACGGTGAAAGGCGTTTTTAAATAATAAAGAATTATAAAATAAATAATTTAAGAGCTTAAGCAAAATAAATTTAATATTTATCTATTTTGAAGAAATAAAAGACTTTTGGAGTTCTGTATAATTATGGCAAAACTGAGTTGGAGAGGACTATTCTATGATATGAAAGATATAAAATTATGGCCTAAAATGATATGTACTTTAAACATTTACGACGCCCCGTTTTGCCTTTATAAATATATAATAAATTACTAAGTGAAATAAATGTATACTCTTTGTTAAATTTATTTGTTTCATTATTTTTCAATTTCAAGCGTTAGTTGTTGCTAATAAAGAAGCTGTAGCCTTCATTAAAGAGGGTAATAGCTTAGGTTAGGTTATACCGGCGATTCCTAGCGGATCCACTTATTTGCTGATTCTGTAACCATATATGTAGGAAAAACTCAGTGTTTAAAACCACACAAAACCTTTGGCGAAGCCTAAAAATGAGGCTCAAGAAAGGAGGCTCCTTAAGTAATGAGTCGCAGCCATGCATGAGCTGAAAAAATACATAATTGAGAGGCAATCTCATCGTCTTCCCCACAGTTGCGACAAATTTGACTGAAAGGGAGACCTAATCTTTTAGCATGCTATATATATTATTAATACTATATATATGATTAATACTATATATATTATTAATACTATATATATGATTAATACTATATATATTATTAATACTATATATATGATTAATACTATATATATTATTAATACTATATATATTATCTACACTATATATATTTATTAATACTATATATTAAATAGAAATATGTTTAAACAACAGATATATAAGTTGCTCTAAATCTCTTGAGTTCAGTCCATGTAATATATAGAGAAGTTTTTAAATATGTGTCTCTGAATGCCAAAGCAGTTTAGTATTTTTTTTATCAATTGTCGAATCAGTTATGTATGAAACAATAAATTGAATACCGGAAGAATCAAAGAAATTAAAATAGTTTAGAACCATGTTATATGGACAGTCATGGTCACGTCAAATAACATATGAAATTTTTGCTTTCTATAGGCTTATATAAAGTTAGTCGGTACGTATCGTAAGAACTTAACCTAAAGCGAAGTACACAGGTGTGGTTGATTGTTCATTTCGGTTTGTCTTAAATGTTTACTGTACGTACCGACTAATTGAGTGTTATGTATAATTAAAAAATTGAGAAAGATAGAAGTTTTAATCAAAATTTAGTCACGGTGGCGAGGATTTCTATGCCACGTTACGTTCAAAACAGTGTTGCTCTGTAATAAATGTCTAAATTAAACATATGCCTATTAGGATAAATATGTGGGTTCTTGCGCGAACATGTAGCATATCCACATATAAACAATTACATGTTAAATTTAGGTAATGTAAGTATTAAAATGGTAGTGTACGATTGTATTACATGCCTTTTGGTCATTACTTAATAGATCTACACTAAAACACGCCTATAGACATATAGACTGTGTAATTGTGGTATTTCTAATGAAAGTAAATTAAAAATCAATAAATCTAACATTTATATACAAAGTATTTTATATATGTTTGTAACTTCAAATTATTTGTCGTATAAATTTAATATGTATTTTCAATTTTAAAGTTTATAACTTTTTATTAAATTTCCAAATTTTTTTGTTAAGCGTTATGCCGTTGTTGTAACTCATGCTGTACCACCTGTCTGTTTTGTTTCTTATTTTTCCCAAAATTGTTATAATTTAATCTGAATTCTTCAATAATAGGTATATTCCACGAGCTACTTTGAGTAACACTGTGTATACACAAGTGCGTTCCACCAGTAAATTTACGAGTAAATGAGGGTATCTCAGAGAGCATAACATCCCTGTCGGAATTTAAATATGATACACAGACTTTACTCGTACATTTTTTTTCAAGTAAAATTTGTGTTGATGTGTTAATCAGCTATTTTGGCTTGAATTAAAAGTTTTGTATTGTTTATTTACGAGGCACTGGTGTGCTCACCAGAATTTACATAAAGGTGTTCCATGTAAATCTGTGTAAATAGCGAAATTTGGCACTCTATTTGTGTTACGCTCTTAGTTTGTACTTTACTTGGGTTTTTCCACGAGTAGCTCGTGGAGCAGACCTAATGTCACATCTTTCGCCATTCAAATATTAAACGAACATTTTGCTCGTTTTTCTTTGAACACACATTCAGCAGCGAGATATTCGCGTACAGATTCTGAATGAATAATAAGTGAAGATAGCAAAACAAAAAACAGCTGACGTACTGGGTTTTCGGCAATCAATCGTTTTATCTAAATCACCCTTTACCATTCTCTGTTTCTTTGTTTTACGCATTTTATTTGTAAAAAATATATTTTTTTGTGGACTCGTCTGGAACTTAGAATTTGACACGTGTTAGATAAAAAGGAAATAAATAAATAAATTCATTAATTAAAGTAATTAACATTTATATAAATTAATAAATACAAAATTATGCAACTGAAATAATTAAATACAAAAAAAAAAACTACAAAATAGAAGGTCTGATGCAATTAAAAAATACTATAACAAAATTATAACGTATACCTTGTATTAGTGAAAAAAAAGAACAAACACAGCTGCACACGAGATTAAAATTATAAAATAATTTATTACCTCACCCCGGCTTCCACCGAACCGTTCAACGGCCTATAATGTCTCGAGTTAACTTGCACTCTGTGCAATTAATAGAACCGTCGACATCGACGACAGCAGATCCACAAGTATTAAAAAATTCCAAAGATGCATACTTAGAAGCAGTGCGAATTTTATTAGTTTTACTGGAAAACGTTTTAAAAGAACCACAAAATCAGAAATATCGAACCATTCGCCTTGAAAATAAAACAATTAAAGAGAAGCTACTTTCACTTGTCGGCAGTGCACAATTACTGTTTGCAATTGGATTTCAAAAACGTAATAATACCGAATATACTCTACCGCTCGAAATACCACTTCAACAGATCTCGGAGTATAAAAATATTTTGCAGCAGCGCAGGGATGCTTGGTTGAAGGGAGGGACTGTGCCCAATAGTAAGTACGTAGCAAATAATAAATTTATTGTATTAATGTTTTATTTATTTTTTTGTTATAGTTGATTTTGAAGTTTCACTGAAATCAACCGCTGCGAGCTCCAATATGAATGCACCACCAGTAGTTAATTTTATACGACCTTCTGTGCCTTACCGGCAAAGAACCACATTTCCTCTAATGTTGGTAAGATCAGCTCTATTATAATTTAATTTTTTTTTATTTATTCCAGTTTTAATTCTTTCGCTTTAGCGCACTACCAATAAATTTCTGCAGTCACTTGAATTCTATTCAGATGCCGTTATGCAATATGAAGATGAGAATTTACTAAATGCTGGACGTGAAATTATACCTATCGATGATCTAACACAAAAGGCGAGTCAGAAACTGATTTCAATACAAGAGCAAATTGCTGAAGGCGCAAGTGACAACAAAGAACCTTGTATAAGAGATCTCATATTAGTTGAATTAGTGAATTGGTTCAATACAGAGTTCTTTGAATGGGTTAATAATATGCCCTGCAAGGTGTGTGGCAGTGAGGAGAGTAAGTTACGACGTACTCAAACGGAGGGTGATGTACGCGTTGAAGTCGGTATCTGCTGTGGGCAGGAAACTAAATTTTATCGTTACAATGATATATCCCAATTACTAGTTTCACGAAAGGGTCGGTGTGGCGAATATGCCAACTGTTTTACGTTTTTATGCCGTTGCTTGGACTATGATGCACGCATTGTACATTCCTTTTTCGATCATGTCTGGACGGAGGTGTGTTCTTGTATAACTCTAGTTAGTCACAAGTTATTTAAATCATATTTTCAGGTTTATTCTGAAAGTCAATTACGTTGGTTGCACGTGGATCCGTCGGATAATGTTGTTGATTCGCCACTTATGTATCAACATGGTTGGAAACGTAATATTGATTATGTTTTTGCTTATTCCTGTGATGATGCACAAGATGTTACTTGGCGTTATACAAATAATCATAAACAGATTTTAAAAACGCGCAGGTTGTGTGCAGAAAACGAGCTTATTGAATCCTTAATAGCTTTAAGAAAGAAGCGTCAAGCTAACCTTAGCGAGGAGAGAAAGAAATACTTGAGTCAGAGAAGTATGTTGGAATTAATTGAGCTAACAGTCGAAAGGTTAGTAATAACTTTTGTAAATTAATGAAAGTAATACATTTTTTAATTTTTAATCGTTTTTAATTTTAGAGCACCAACCGAGAACGAACTAAAAGGTCGCAGTTCGGGTAGCTTATCATGGCGGCAATCGCGTGGGGAACATACATTTAATGACGTAAGCCTTATATGATTGTAATAGTCAATATTTGAGTGTGACTTATCGTTTGTTTCGAAATAGATTTTTATTTTCACACCAAACAACACTGAAATAGAAAAAAAGCAATTCAATGTGCGTTATTGTTGCTCAACTGATCTGTATGAACGTTACATAAAAGGTAAATAAATACACAAATTAAATGAAACAATTATTTTGCATTATTTTTATAATACTTATATATACCATATACTACTTTATACTTTAACAATGCTTAGATGGTTCGAATATAAACGTGTTAACAACATATAAGACTTGGCAAAGTGCACAGTTTTCATCTGAAAATATTTTACGTAAGGTGGAAAGAGATTGGAAAATGGTTTACTTAGCTAGACAAGGTTAGTTTGGCTAGAATTGGAATTTCTTTACCAAATAGTCCTCTTACTATAATTCTTTCTTTTACAGAGGATAGTGATTATGCAGAAATTGTGTGGAAATTTAAATTTACAACGGAAAATTTAAAAGTGAAGAATTATAATTTAATTTTCGAGAGGAAAACTTTTGGAGAAGGCCAAATTGAAGTATTAGTCACCACCGGCGATGGTGAGACGAATATTGAGGGTGCTACAGAATTTCAAATTAAAGCTAAACTATCAGGCGGTAAAGGTGATGTTGCTTGGCAGCATACACAATTGTTTAGACAAGGATTGAATGCAAAAGATTATCCATTTGATTTGCAAATTGAGTTTATGTAAATAGATTTTAGCCAAAAAGCGTATTGGAAGGATAAGTAGAGATTTACAACATGAATTAAGATAGCTTTGAGTCCTGCATTTGTTTTCGAATTTCCAATTTTTAAAGTTCCTGTTCAGAAAAGATTCATTAATTTGTTAGTCTTTAGTTTTGATAATATATAAAAGTTCGGAAAACAATTTTGAACTAGGTTTTTAGAAATCGAATATATGTCACAAATCATTTATACGCTTTTAATCTTCAAAATTTAGAAAGTAAGAAAGAAAGCAAGAAATTTTTTTCACTTACAAAAAGTTTAAAAACAAATTGAACAGATCAGGATAAGTTCAGGATCCTCTTAAACAGATCAACGTCTCGAATCGTTTTAGTCGTTTTCATGTCAGTGAGACTTACATAATTTTAAGAATAAAATTTTTATGCTCTTTAAAATGTACAATATTAGTTGATTATATCTCGTAATTGTTGTTGTAATCCGCAGGGACCTAAAGAGCAGAAAACATGACAGGATTGCAAGACAAAGACAGCATGGAATGTGTAGTAAGGGAGATGTCAGATGTGAAATTGTGTTTAGTAAAGGTACAATGTAAGTGCTAATTGAACCCCGCATCGTACTCCTATGTTGTAGTCGTCTTATTCTACCAATTGAGCAATTACTCAGATCAATAATGAATATATGAATAATAATTTTTATTATTTTTAAATATTATGTATATTTTGCAGATCTTAATATTCTTACCAGTGTTTGTTATATATTACCCATCAGTATTTAAGAAGATTTTTTGATTTATTTTTTTGAAAACTTCGACGAAAAGAAAGAAGTTCAAGTTGTCGATATTGACGAGTGATTGCAGGTCAACACTCTCTCATTTTGCAAACCTGTATATCTACCCCATAAATTTTTAAAAACCAATTTTTATCTATTAGATATATTTTCACAAACTATTTTGTATATAAATATATTTTATACTGATAAGAAATTCTATCATAAAGATTCTATACATAAAAGGTTCTTTAAAAAAAAAATTACTTTGTTGAAACATTCCACATAAATTAAGTACTTAAATATCTATTGAGATAATTTACTTATTATAAACATTTCATCGGTTGATAGAGATTTGCATATAGTGATTATATGTGTTCATGATTCAGTTTCAAATTCTTATAAGGAAATTAAAATTTGTATCATATACTTCGGGCCAACTTCAAACAATTATCAGAACTGTTGGTTCAGATTTATTTAAATATCTACTATAAAAAAATATAAATTTGACCTAAAAACCTTATTAGACATTTTAAACAACTCTCCTAGATATGTTGAGGATAACGGAGACCATAGATACCATATATATTATTATTAATTAGCTAGCGAGTCATAATATTTGCGATGTTCACATCACTGTCTGTCAATAATTTAATCTCTTAGATATTGATTGAATGAAATTAGTTGAATATGTCATATAACGTCCACACACATAAATTAAAAATAATGTTTTATATCTAGATTTCACTTCCAGAAATAATTTAAAAATTTTTAATATATTGGTAGCAGCACGTTCCTTGAGCCTTTAAATGTAAGTCCATTGTGAAAAATGAGTTAAAAAGTAAATAGTAGCAAAGTGATTTGTAGTATAACTATGTAAGAAGGGAATTGAATAGTACTTCGACATTTTGATGACTAAGCATGTAGATTGAAAATTTTTTTTGGAGTGGGTCGAACATCTTCGGGTAGGTCCAACATCTTTGAGTAGCTTAAACATATTCGAATAGATCACAAATTTTTGTACATTGGAAGTGTTTGATCCAAATTTTCGAATTCGAGTATATATCGCAATCTTGAACACTTTAAAGCACTAGTAGGATATTTCGACTTTCAAAATCAACTTTGTTCTTTAACTTAATACCTACTTTTCTTTTACCTAAAAACATATGGCTGTGTTCTTACATGACTAGCTTAAGTCTTATTTACATAAATATTCTTGTTCAAAGAATTTTTTAGGAGGTACTTAGTTTTCTGGACACTTAGTGGAGCATAAAGATTTCTCATTAACTACTTGTGTGTATGATTAATAGAAACCTAATATCGTTTTTTAACACGCAAGGCACATATATATATTTAAAATTAATATTTAAAGTTCCTTGGTACATTAGGACGAATGACATCCTTAGGGACCTCAAGATTGATCCCATCAAAAAATACATAAAGGATAGAGCCCTGAAATTATTTGCGAAATCTGACAGACTTACTAACACCGTGTTATCAAATCTCAGATTGGTTACAGGCTCCTCGGGGAGGTATGCAGATCTGAGGTCAATTATTGCTTAGTCTGATGAAGTGATAAACAATAATCCAGTCAAGGCGCAGAGAGGGGTTTTGAAGAAACCTTGCAGTTAATAGAGAGTAAAAGTGCTCAGGTGCACTGACTCAACTTGCCTCAACATAATAATAAAGCTATATAAGATATGATCGTGTTTGGTATTGATGCATGATTCTTACACATACAAGTTCTTCCCATTGACTAATACACAATACGCTTTCTAATTCCCTTAATAGTTTCCATAATTTTATATAAATCTTTTGTCTCAAGTCGTTGCAACCCTCGGGAATTAATAGAGCACAAAATATGAAACTATTACATAGGTTCGGATGGAGGAGGAATGAGGATGTGGCTGGGTGTTTATTGAAATAAGACAATGTCAAGTGAAGAAATCTGGCTTCTTCAATAGGACGGAGTCATAAATCCATAGGGCACGTATTGTTATATGCATTTTTTATATTGGTATGTCATATTGACAATTGACATTTTTATACGTGAAACGTAAGTGTTTAGCACATGAGTTTACCCTGACCTGAATTGCTTGTGATACATTGATCTTATACCAATTTTATAGTTTTTATTACTTAACCTTCAGGGTTCTAAATAAGCTCGTCCTATAGCAAACTATATAGAGAGAATAAATTTCTCTTTGAAGGAAATATGCCGAGGTTTATTGATCATCGAACTAATTAGTTAACATATTTAAAGTGTAAAATTTGTTTTTTTCCAATGCAAACTAATTTTATTAAATGTTTTTAAACAAATTATTGAATCTTTTATTGTGATATCTAAAAGTATATAAATTAATATCATCGCAACAATTGTTTATGAGATTTGTTGTAAATCTTTAAGTATCCCAAGTACGTCATCTAAAAATTTAGACTTATTTTTGTTTTGTCGAAAAACCAAAAGTAATTGATTTTATTAAATAATTTTAAAAATTTTATATAATACTTATATTCGAAAATATATTGCTATACTTAAATGTACATTAAAGTAATCGATTTTAATATGATTAAAATATCTTATAAAGATTTCATATTTACAAATAAAAAAATCAAAGTTTATAACTAAAAAATTATTGTTCACTATTTACTAATTCAAACCACTGTCTCATAGCCTCACTTAGCACGGTTGGAAGCTGATTTAAATCTCGCACTATAACGTAATATGGAAAAGGAAAATCGTCCATATACGATTTAATATTGACACTTTTATCCGGCAGCATTTCCATAGCTTGGACATCCAATATAGAATGCTGGTAGAATAATATTTTATTTAATTTTATAAAATGAAATATAAAAAATTTCTCCGATCTTACCTTGTTTTCAGGATTATCTATTATTATGTAGACTAAAAAAATCCTTTGTAATCGCGCCAGTTTTACTGCATTTTTAACCTATGATGGGAAATTAATAAAATATTTTAATATATATATAAATTTACTTTGATATGGATTTACCTTTATCTTGCCTTCTCTGAATATATTATGACCATCACTAAGTATTAATAATAGATTTTCAAATAGACCATTATCTGACCCTACGTTACTTTCTTCAGTATTTATTGTTCTTATGAAATCAAGCAAATCTGCGATTTTTGTTTCATTCTGTGCAAAGCACAGAGAATTCACAAGTTTGGGACCATCGAACTGTTCAGTGTGATTCAATATAATTTGTGGTGTTTCACCAAAGGAGACAATACTAAGACGACCGCTTTCTAGTAATGTCAACGCTTGAGAAACCAAGGAAATAGCTTCGAGTGTTAATGTTTTAGAGTTGTTGTGATGCATTGATTTTGAGTCATCAATAGCAATAGTAATTTTGTAATCACGTTGCGCTGGTTTAGTGCGTCTTAGCCAGATTTTGTCTTTACGAAATTGTGAAGCAATGTACGGAATAATTTTTTTCATATTAATTCGTCGTCCGGTACGATAATCGCCCTTGAGTCGTGTGCATTTGGTTGGTTCTAAAATAAGACGTAGTTGCTCACATAAATCTCTGGCATTTTGTGACATTCGATTTGATATTGTTTGCCATGTTTCGTAATCTTCATGTTGTGGTATTGCCTATAGAAGCGTAACATAAAAAAAAATTGAATAGAAATTGTGTACATAAAAACTTATATTAATTTTTCAGTTACTTACCGACTGATTGCCTACTATTTGTTGTTGATACATTTTTCTAAATTCCAATGTCTCTGCTGGAGTTAACTCTTGCGCCTGCGCAGAGTTGTCTAAAAGTATTTCGCTACTACAATTAAGAAATATAATTATTAATAAAATTTATTATAAACACGAGTTTTAACAATATTTAAAAACTTACATGCAATGGGCTGTAGTATCAGTACCACGTGGCACATTCATTGTCTCTACAACTTCACCTTCAATTTCCATTTGTTCATCCGTTTCAATTCTTTCCTTAACCTTCTCTGTTTTTGAGGGCTTTTCTGATTTATGATCAAACTTTTCGGCTTCCATATCGTGTATGTCCTCTTCATTGTTTAAATTTTCATTTTCATCTTCTTCCATAAGTTCATCATTATTTTCACACTCTGGTTCATTTTCATCTTCTTTATCTTGTTGATGCTGCAGATTTTTTGATTGTTCCTCAGTAGCATTATCTAAAGTAGTTTTATCACTTTTTTTCGGTTCCTTTACATGTTGATACTCTTCAGCGGCAACGTCTTCATCTTCTGGCGTGTTAATCTCACTCTCAGTTTCTTTTTGTTCCTTTAGTTTATCAATAGTTTTC